CTCATAATCATCACTCACACTCTCGCTCTCCTCAGAGTCCGAATCCGACTCAGAAGAAGAATAAAAAGGCGGGGGCTGATAGATCCTGAGCACCGGCATGGGGGGCTCGTATCCGGAGGTGATCAACGCGAGAAAGCGGCGCCGGAGCACCTCGCGCGCGGCGTCGAAGTACCGGCGCTGCGCGAGGTGTGAGTCCCTGTTAGCTGTGATGATGAAGTTGAGAAATGAGACGGGCACGGTGACTTGCTCATCGCCCATCTCGGTTCGGTGCCAGAACATCCCCGCCTGGCGGAAACGCTCGCTACGCTGTATCTGGCGTGGGGTTGGGGGCAACATGGTTGATGTTGCTGCTATAGGTCACACTTTTTGTCTTACTTGCAACTGTTTTGGACTGGTTTCCCTATCGGAAGATGGGGGGAGAGGACGTGAGGGTGTGAGGGCTTATTTATATTGTCTTTGGATTTGGGGCGGATGTCTGGGTTTCAATACTGATTCTTTTTTTGATTGCATGCTGAAGGAACTTACTGGAGTATTACTGGTGTTATTTGGCTTTGACTTGTGTGCTGTGTGGTGATAGCCTTTGTTCTGGGAGAATGAAGAGGAGATAATCCTTGGTTTATGATGGAGCTGGCTTGAGGTGGATTGGATTTCTCGGTGATTTATAGGCATATTCATCTCCTTTAACTGCTGATCCTTGGATCTCATGTCTTTGAGTGAGTGATGATTCAAGATTATCTGGACATGATAGCAATGGTTCATACTACACGCCATTGATTGAATCAGTTTTTCGATGAGCTAAAATCGAATGGTTGCATGCATTGAGTCCCCAAGTGCTGCGAAGATCCTTCTTGCACTGTTGCAGATAGCCAGCCTACGTTCGCACATAGGGATTAGAAGTCTCATTTCAGTCTCGATGGATCCATGATCCATCATGAAGGTGGTCTATACTTCTACTCCTTGAGGACTAGACCGATCTACAACTCATCCCGATCGGGATTTCCCTTTAGGGCTAGCCCCCGCGCTCTAACTCAATTCAGCCAAGCAAAACGTGACGGTAACTTTCTGGAGCTCCGCAATCTTCATGACTTTAATCTCGGTCTCCCCAACTCCACCATCTTTTTAACTGCAGAAAAGCAGCCATTGCAATGGAGGGCGCCGACGTGATTGAGTCGCCGCGCAAGCGGATCAAGACTGACAATCCGTCCATCACGGACGACGCTGTGCTTCCCCAAGCCGGCGGACCCGTTGCGGAGGAACCCGCCGCCGCGCCAGTCTCGGCCGATGATGCGCAGGCTCGGAGGGAGATAGAGGTTGGAATCACCGGCTATGTCAGCGCGGACAACGAAGGTTTCTCCGGTATATTGAAGAAGAGGTATGCTCTGGTCCCTTCATGACTTGTCTGGGGCCGTCACTAATTGTATCTCCTCGCATCTAGATATACCGATTTCCTCGTGAACGAGATTGTGCCGTCCGGTGAAGTGCTGCATCTGCAGAATGTTCCCGTTCAGGAGAAGAAGCAGAATAAGGAGGAGCAGTCCTCGGAGAAGCCAGCCGCAAAGCCCCAGCAGGAAGACGGCGCCCAAGTTACAGCTGAGAAAGATGCGACGCCGACCACCGAAACCCCGGCCCCCGAATTCCAGATCAGCGATGAGGACAACGCGCTTCTCGAATCCCTTTTCGGCGAGGAACCCACACAGAAGATTCTGGCGCTGAACAAACGCGCTCTTGAGAATCCGAAGTCGAGGCCCAGCGACTTCAGCAAGATCGCTACCGTCGTGGTCACCGATCGCGATCTGCGGATCAAGATGCACCAGGCCATTCGTCGCATCTTCAACTCTCAGCTCGAGTCCCAGACCGACAGTGAGGGCATGATGAACATCTCCGTCGCCCCGAACCGGAATAACAAGAAGGCGCAGGGTGGACGCGGTAACGGCAACGGCGGGCCGCGTGTTCCGATCAATTGGGATGAATTGGGCGGCCCCTACTTGCACTTCACCATTTACAAGGAGAACAAAGATACCATGGAGGTTCTGAACTTCATTGGACGCCAGCTCAAAGTGAACTCGAAGACCTTTCAATTCGCCGGTACCAAGGATCGACGCGGTGTGACGGTCCAGCGGGCGTGTGCGTACCGAGTGCAGGCCGAGCGGCTTGAGAAGATTAACCCTACTCTCCGTAACGCAGTCCTCGGTGATTTCGAGTATCGCAAGTATGGTCTAGATCTGGGTGATCTCAACGGCAACGAGTTCGTGATCACCCTCCGCGACTGCGAGATTCCCGGAGTCGTCGACCTTCAGGACCGCGAAGCCGCCATCGCCAAGTCTACCGACCTTGTTAAGACTGCCCTACACAACCTTCGCGAACGGGGCTACTTCAACTACTTCGGTCTGCAACGCTTCGGAACCTACGCCACGCGCACGGACACCGTCGGCGTTAAGATGCTTCAAGGCGAATTCAAGGGCGCCTGCGACGCCATCCTCCACTACAGCCCGCACACCCTACATGCCGCCCAACAGGGAGAAGCCGCCTCCGCTCTAATCAGCTCCGACGACCGCGCGCGCGCCGAAGCGATCGACCTCTGGACGACCACCGCCAACGCCGGCAAGGCGCTCGAGAAACTGCCTCGCAAATTCTCCGCCGAGGCCAACATCATGCGCCAACTGGGCCGCTCGAAGACCGACTACCTCGGCGCCCTACAGGCTGTGCCCCGTAATTTGCGCCTGATGTACGTCCACGCCTACCAGTCGTTTGTGTGGAACTTCGCTGCCACCGAACGCTGGCGGTTGTACGGCGACAAGGTCGTCGAAGGCGACCTCGTCCTGATCCACGAACACACCGACAAGACCTCCTCCGCCGCCGCCAACACCACCGGCGCTTCCGCAGCCGCGACTACCGAACCGGCCGACGAGACCGTTGACGCCGACGGCGAAGTCATCATCACGCCCCATGCAACCGGCGACAGCGCCTACGCGGCCGAGGGCATCACGCGCGCCCGCGCCCTTACCGCCGAGGAAGCCGCCAGCGGCAAATACAACATCTTCGACGTCGTGTTGACGCTTCCTGGATACGATGTGCTGTACCCGGCCAACGCCATGACGGATTTCTACAAGCAGTTCATGGGCAGTGAGCAAGGCGGTGGCCTCGATCCCTTCGATATGCGCCGGAAGTGGAAGGACGTGAGCCTCACGGGCGGATACCGCAAGCTATTGAACCGCATGGGGCCGGACTATTCGGTCGACGTGAAGGTCTACGACCGGGACGATGAGCAGTTCGTGGCGACCGATCTGGAAAGACTTCAGGGTCAGAGCAAGGATGGTGCTGATGCTGATGCTGCTCAGGAGCAGGGGGAGAGCAAACTCGCGGTGGTGCTCAAATTCCAGCTTGGATCGAGCCAGTATGCTACTATGGCGTTGAGGGAGTTGACGAAGGGCAAGGTCAAGGCTTACACGCCTGATTATGGGAAAGGGCGGTAATTGTATAGATCTAAAAGTTTATTCAAGTGTATATATGCGCATTGGGAAATAGAGCGATCCATTGGTGGGCTAGATTCGAAATAACATTCTTTCCGCTGTTGGCATAATGTGCATGGAGCTTTATCTGACGACCCTAAGCTCGAAGGAATTCAACCTTTCCGAGGTCAAGTGCAAGTGCTAAGGTTCCCTCCTAATGCAGCCTTGGGTGGCTGTGTTGGCGTAGCTGGCAGAAGGCAGCCGTGAAACACGGAGTCAAACAACAACAAATCAAGCTTACACCCTCTTTCCGGATTATTGCTTCTCACCCAACTCCTATGCAACACAAAGCACTACACTGTAATTAGAGATTTTCAATCTCAAACTTCCATGCTGAAGATTGAACGATAACCTCGCCCCGCCCAGGCCGTGCGATCACAACCGATTCAAAGGCAGCCCATAATCCAGGGCATTTCAGGGCCACGCAATGCGCCGACGTCTCCAGACCCCCATCACTCCAAGCTAATGCGTCGATCGGGCTATTCGGTGGAGAACCTCATTCATTTCTTCAACCATTCACAATCGACCTAAATTCCCACGCGCTCATTGACACATGAGTATGGAGGCAAAGCATTCCTATGTTTCCATTTATTCCATACGGCGACCGGTTTTTTTTTTTCCATAGTTTCAACCCTAGCATGTGCCAGTTGTACAAGTACACTAGTAGTACATCTTCTACTCCCAACATGCGTTCGGCGCCAATCATTCCGACTGGTGAGGAGGATGGAGGGGGGGGGGGGGGTATGGGGCTAACAATGCTGTTCGTTTCACCCTCGTGAGCGGGCAGAATACTGTTCTTCTTATTGCATTGCGCGTCGTCCATGGCATGAACCGGCGCTTTACGCCGTGCAAGCTAGTGGTGATTGGTAGACCGGTCCCTACATGGGGGAGGCGGGCGCGGGCTGTACTTCCTTAGCCCTCAGAAGTTGGGCCTTAGGCAGTACTATACCTCGTTCACTAAGAGGATGCTGCTGCGCCATGTCAGCTCTCTCTCTCTCTTTTTTTCTTCTAGGCTGTTGTTTCCGACTTTCGTTTCTTCTCTTTTTTTTTTTCTTGTTCTTCTGTGATTCTGGCTTTCCTTTTACTCGATATTATTGTAGAGACTCTCTATCCGGGCAATTTCTAGGTGCGTAAGTGCCCATTGTGGTGAGTATATGCTGGTGCTTTGTTTTTTTCTGTGACCAGGTACAGTATACTGACATAAGCATCTAAATAGAAGGAGAACTCTTTCATTTCAGGGTCTCTTGATCTTGGTATTGGTTTTTGGTATGTTGATATGTCTGGTTTCAGACGCGTGTTGAGACGTTAACTGTGTTGTTAGTCTGTGTGCTCCTTCGACACCGACCTAGGATCTTGAGATTGGGAATTCTCTCGGTGGTGCTATACAGTACTTATCGATCTGGCTTGGCTTATCTTAACGACCTCGCTGGGCGATTCTGTTCGGTCAACAACGACAGACGTGGATGGTTAGACCAGTCGATCACTGCTGTCATGTCTGGAATAGATAGTGGAAGCCAATGGTCAGGAGGAGGTAGCACAGGTGGATCTCAGGATGGCAGTCAAGGCAGTTGGGAAGGCACCGACAGCAGTGGCAGCACATCCCAGGCCGGGGGAAATGCATCGCCCTCGGAGTCTATCGCCGCCAGCGCGACGACACCTACAGCAGCCGACTCTTTTCTCACAGCTACCCAGACCACTAATCCATCACCCACAACATCAACAACCACGTCTTCCACGTCAACTTCCTCTGCTAGCAGCAGCAACGGCAGCAACACCGAAACCCTCGCCATCGCCATCCCTGTTGCTGTCGCGGGCGCAGCCATCATTTTGGGCCTGCTATTCTTCCTCCGACGGAGGCGCCGTCGCGTTCGAGGCCATGTCATCCCATCTACTTCTCAGATCGATGTAATAACCGTCCCTCGACAACCAATACTACCCCAACCGCAGCAGAACTTACCGAGATCGCAACCACCCCAAGCGACACCCTGGGGATTCACAAATGCTAGTACTCATAACATTCCCTTCACGGGACCTATACCATACGACACTTCGAACCACTCAAGCGACCGCCTCGCTACAAGCCAGCCACGCGGCCTTAATGCACCTGCTAGTCAGCACAGCCTAACACCAGGGATCAACACCACACTGGAGCAGCCACCGCCATATTCCAGGCATCCGGAGCGTGCGGAGGCACAGGTATCACCCGTGACAAGCGCCGGCGTTCCTTCACGGCAGGTGTCGGGGCGTGAGCGGCCGACATCCCCGTTTGACCATCCCCTGGATGACACTGTCTCTGAGATTTCGAGATACAGTAGAGGGCCATCCCTGGTCCACCGCGCCAGTCTCGACGAGATCTCATCTGTCTCGTCAATAGGTGACGATGAAAGGCGGCCAGCGATGCGTCATTAATCTTGCCGTGAGGGCCTTTGGTTTCGTGTTTGGGTGTTTGAAATTAGGCGGGCGTTTGGGCTTTGATGGGAGCAGTCCCCATCACCACAGCGGTATCCGGCCTATCCTCCTGGCCGACAATCCATATATACTTAATTCTGCTTTTACCTCGGAGCACAGATGAACAATATGGGATGTGGAACGGTGTGGTATATATACTATACACACACTGACATCAATTCATTGAAATGCGACAATATACCTGGGCGATCTCTCGATTTTACGCAGGACCAGGCCCATCCTCCCCATGACGTATCGAATCAGATGGTCATGGCATCGCGATGTCCCTGCTACGCAGTCCTCATAAAGCCAAAGCTCAATGCATAATACATCAACCGGGTCCCATAGCTCAGTTGGTTAGAGCGTAACGCTAATAACGTTAAAGTCGAGGGTTCGAGCCCCTCTGGGACCAGCTCTTTTTGACTTTTTTGTTTCTTTTTGTGGTATATGGTCCCGGTGGATTGTCGCTGCCTATCCCTGGGACTGATCCCTGGTACTGTGGAATTACTGCCGTAACCAGGCAAACAAACAATGAACGTTCAACAACCAGAATAGAGATGATCAATTAGCTTTTTTGTTTGGGTAATTGACTACTGTAAGCTATTAATGGAACATCCGGCGAAGCCGTCCATAGAAATTGCTTATACCTAAAATGAATCATGAACATTTTCCCACTAACTTAACCGGGCAGTTGGCGGTGCACGAGAGGGTGCCACTCAGTACTACGGCACGTACAGGGCTTAGACCTGCGTCTACCCGCCAATGGGCCGGCTCCACCCTCCTCCACCCTCCACCCTGATGATATCACCACCGTCAGGGTCCGACTGTCGTGTGTGGCTGGTGACAATCCTAATTCATCCTCCAAAGCCAATGAATGAGCTTCCAATTGCTGGACCTTGTCCGTGGGATCGTCGCAATGCGTTCATTTCCTCCTTTTACAGGGCCTGTGAGAGCTCCGCCTACGCTATTCGGCCGCGGTTCAACGGGACATGGCCTCCACTGCATCCACTGATCATCCTACTGCCATACACACCCCGGTCCCCTAGGCCTGCTAACAATGCAATTTTGCTGCCTTCCGGGGCAGGCCCGTTGCAAATTCTTCTCCCCTCCCCCAGTATATCATCGCCTGTACCCCCCTAAAACCCGTTACATTTCAACTTGGAAAGTCTCGAGACTTGTTCACTAGCTTCAAACACCAATCAATCCACTCGGGCAAACACCACAGGCCAGTGGGTTGCCCTGACACAGGTTCATATACAATCAACAAGCCTATTTTTTCTAAGGACTAAAGCAAAAGCCATCGACTGCCAGCATGGGTGTTGGCGGCGTCATCCTCCGCTTCGCGAATCTCGCGATTCGCATCCTCCAGTTCCTCGATGCCGCAGTCATCCTCGGCATTTTCTCATACTTCCTCGCCATCCTCGCCCGCCATGATCAGACGATCCCTCAGTGGGTGAAGGCCGTCGAAGGCCTATCAGGTGCAGCAACCCTCTACGGCATTCTCGGCATCCTTTTCACCTGCTGCCTCGGCGGGGTCACCTTCTTTGCTGCCGTGGCCGTCCTCCTCGATGTCTGCTTCATCGGGGCCATGATCGCCATCGCCATCATGACTCGCAAAGGCACCCAGAGCTGCTCCGGCAACGTCGATACGCCGCTGGGCTCCGGTGCCAGCAATACCGACGACGCCAACACTCACGTGCGTCTTGGGTATGCGTGCGTGCTGGAGAAGGCTTCATTTGCTGTCGCTATTATCGGAATGTGAGTCGCCTGACTCCTCCCTCGAGCGTTACCCCTCTTGTGAGAAAGATTATCTAATTGTTTATCGAACGTCAGTTTTCTATTCCTGATCTCCATCCTCTTCCAAGTCCTTCTCGCCCGTCATCACAAGCGCGAGAAGCGCTTCGGCCCCTCCCCCGCCAACGGGTACACATATGGCACCGGCACGCAACGCCGGGGCTTCTTCTGGCGTCGCAACAAGAACAACCCGGAGACCGCCAGTGCGGATGACATGCTCCCCAGCCATCCGGCGCCCCGTGACGTTGAGCTAGGAACCTCTCCCACCGAGAAGACCAGCGGTACGGGTGGTCTGTTTACGCGCAGCAAGCACACCGCGCCGGAGGCTGCAGCTCCTCCTGGCTACGGCTATGGCAATTCTGCTTACTCGGCTAATTACTAGACACCGCACTATCCTTCCATGCAATGTGTGGTCAATTCCGTATACACTTTATGACGCAAGACCCGCAAAGGAGGAGGAACTAGTTGCTTTGTGGACGAATAGATGAGACAACGAATTTTTGGGAATGCCATTCAAACCACGTAGTATGGCGTCTCATGAGGATAAAACTTCCGGGTTTGCTTCACGTTTGACTTGAGTGGATGACTGGGAATAACAGTATGAAACCCTTCTTCACCTTATACCAACCTTTAAACCACCGAACACATCTTTGTATATTGGCTTTGTCTTGAACATTATTGGCTATCTATTTCTTCTTTCCTGCATATATCTTATATGACTCCTTTTCCTAAAGCTTCTTGTGGCTTTCCGAGCACTCCACTTGTGCTTCAACCACTTCAATCCTGATGTGTCGCGCGCACGTGTCCTCGCGTTGTGCGCCTTCCTATAGCAGGAGCCAACAAGCATTTTAAGAATACCTACACACCCCGATTCTACTCTACTTCCACACCATACTCCATTCCTATTCCTCATGCCATAGGGCTCTTTGCTTTTGCAACCTATCTTTCGCAAGCATGCTACCTGACTTCTTGCAGAGTAGTGACGCCCGCTACACAGCGGCCGCCAACACATTTGCAACATCAGATTTGCGGTTCTCACGGTGGAGGAGCCCCAGGAAACTGCGCCGTCTCAACCGACGCCCGCAGTGTCGAAGAAGCTCGTCAAGGTGACGGTCGATGAAGAAGAGGACGACAACAAGGAGGCAGCGGACTCATATCTGGGTCAGCTGTTCTTCAAGACCCTCTGCTTGCTTCAGGATCTGGACAATATGCGAAAGTTCATTTCCATCACCTGGTCAGAGTAATCATGAGAAGAAAATCGACCTCATGAACGCGGCTGTCGTTACGGACAGTACTTTGCAACTTGCCCAAGATCTGGTCAAGGAGGTGGAGGCGAACTGGCGCACCTCGCTGTCCGAACGGAAGAGTGATGTCCAGACTGTGGTCTACAATCTTGCTGCTCTCTCCTCCGGCATTTTTGCGCCCCCGTCCATGAAGATTGGCCTTCCCTACAACAAGAACCTGGCTGTTACCGCCGAGGGGTGCTATTTGCCAACCAAGCTCCTGCTTGAGTCTTTCGCAAATTTGTTCCAGGCGGGCCACCATCCAGTCTTCAAAACCGGCCAATTCGGCATCTATGATCCGAAAGCGGACAGAGGGCGGATGTCTCTGGGCCAGAAGTTCAACGAAGACAAGCTCATCCTTCTCCCGATATTGCCCGAGTTTGCATGTTCGATACGTTCGGCATCCACTTGCCTACCGAGGATGTCATCACTCGGGGCCTGATCGAGTTTGCCAAGACCAGAAGGGTGAGCCTGTGGCTCTGTTTAGCCGTCCAGGTCTTCCTCGACGTTCACCACGCGATGCGACACAGTACCTTGGGCGCATTTGGAGATCTCCGCATGTCTGGACTTCGCATCCAGAAGACCATCGATGATTACCTGCAACTGTCTAAAACACACCCCCAGCCCAGATTCTGACCAAAGGAGGGTAACGAGTAGATCCGACGCATTTGTTCAACCGTGGACGCATGGAACAAGAAGCCCGTCCTGGATTTGGTGCATGATGCGGGCGATTTGGACGCGCTGATGTATTACTGGATCAGTCTGGAGGATGTTCTGAGCCCTAAGGGGATCGCCTCGCTCATGACGGGGATTCCGGTGGCCTAGGCTTATCGGTCTGAAGCTGCAGCGAAGATATCCGCGTTGTTGGTATAATGATATTACCCTTCAAAATTCTACTTAGCTTGCTGCTGTGTCATGTTTGACTACTATTTTCCTCCAAGATAATTTCAAATAATAGTCCTGTGGGAAATGTTCTCTTTAGACTTCCATTAGCAGCTGCAGTGTAATTTATGATAGTGTTCTACAAGATCTGCTGGATCTATCGGCGATCCCTCCGGGATGCAGGAACCGCGGCGCCGAACCATGCTTAGTGCCCGTGACTAGTGCCCTGCCTAAGGCTTCTCTTGTCTAGCCCGGTGTTCCGGACTCGACATCTTTTCTTCCTTGACTCTCTGTTGCATCATACCCTCTGCATTTCGTCCCGATTTAAATCCCTGCGCAACAATGATGATGATGATGATGCATGGGATCCCCGCCCAACAGACCTGTTCTGCCTAGATTTCTTTGTCTTTTTCTGACGATGCGCCTGAGGACCTGTCTCACTTAGAACCTTGGAATTCTTTTTTCTTAGAATTCCTGGCCTGCTAGATGTATTGGCGGGGGACTTTTTCGCCCAGGCAGTGGAGGATCGATCGCGCTCTCCAATATGCCGGACGCGGCCAGGAATCTGGCTCTGGCTCCTCCCGCCAGGTTCGCCACACCTCATCAGCGGCGAATTTGCTTTTCGCAATTACACCATCGCAGAGATCTTACCGCTCCCTAGGCTTTATTGCTGGCAAAGGCCTCTTGTCGTACGCGAGTAGACCTGCTACACCTTTCCTGTCTTCTACCTCCTCGTCACGCATTGTGACCCCATCCATTGTCGCAACCTTTACCCCGTCTCGTTCGTTGTCCGGAGCTGCGAGTGAGCTTCTCGAGTCTCCGGCTGCTGACGAAATGGCCGCCGCCACTGAGATAAAACCCAACGGCGTGGGCGGCAGTCTGCCTGATGGCGCAGAGAACCTGGACCTCAAAGCTGAGCCTGGGTCCATTGAGACGAGCGATGCTGCCACTGTTGCGCCTGCTGCTCTCTTGGATCCGGAGTCGGATGAAGATGTCCCCGTTGAAGCGGAAGAGCTGCAAGACGCGTTGTCGCGGCCTCCGCCCGTCCACAGCAGCTACCTGCCCCTCCCCTGGAAAGGGCGATTGGGCTATGTGAGTCTCCTCGCTGTCTGGGTTCGGCGTGTGTCTGTTGTCTATCCTCTAACATGAACTCGTAGGCTTGTTTGAACACATACCTGCGGTACTCGAACCCGCCTGTGTTCTGCTCTCGAACCTGCCGCATCGCCTCCATCTTGGAGAATCGGCATCCTCTCCTGGACCCCACGCAGCCTCCCCATCCGACGAAGAATCGCCCGGACCGCGATCAGCCGGCTGATGTGGCACGCGGGCAGGCGTATGTCGAGGCTCTGGGACTCACGAACGCGAAGGATCTTCTCAAGATCATCCGCTGGAATGACAAGTATGGGATCAGGTTCATGCGGCTGAGCAGTGAGATGTTCCCTTTTGCGAGTCACAAGGAGTATGGCTACAAGTTGGCGCCCTTTGCCTCGGAAGCGCTGGCCGAGGTCGGTCGACTCGTCGCCGAGCTGGGTCATCGCGTGACCACCCACCCGGGCCAGTTCACCCAACTCGGCTCGCCGAATGATGGCGTGGTGGAGAACTCTCTGCGGGACTTGGATTATCACTCTGAAATGCTGCAGTTGCTTCGTCTGCCCCCGCAGCAGGACCGCGATGCAGTCATGATCCTGCACATGGGCGGTGTCTTCGGTGATAAGCAGGCTACTCTCGACCGGTTTCGAGAGAACTACCAGGCCTTGCCGCAGGATGTCAAGAACCGACTTGTGCTCGAGAACGACGATGTCAGCTGGTCGGTGCACGATCTCCTGCCCATCTGCGAGGAGCTGAACATCCCGCTTGTTCTGGACTTTCACCATCACAACATCATCTTCGACGCGACACAAGTCCGCGAGGGGACGCAGGATATTATAGGTCTGTATGACCGGATCAAAGCGACCTGGACGCGGAAGAACATCACCCAGAAGATGCATTACTCCGAGCCCACCGCGGCCGCCATCACTAACCGACAGCGTCGAAAGCACAGTGACCGTGTGTCCACTCTTCCTCCTTGCGATCCGACCATGGATCTCATGATCGAAGCCAAGGACAAGGAGCAGGCCGTGTTCGAGCTGATGAGGACCTTCAAGCTACCGGGCTATGAGCTCTTCAACGACATGTTACCCTACATGCGCACGGACGAGAACAAGCCATTCAAGCCTCCGAGGAAGACGAAGAAGAAGGAGGGATTCGTCGACCTCGAAGGTCAAGTCCCTCCCGAGCGGACCGTTCTGGAAGAGGAGGTCGGTATGGGCGGGCCCCAGCGAAGAGTGTACTGGCCGCCCGGCATGGAGGAATGGCTCCGACCGAAGAAGGTCGTTCGCAAAGTCCCTCAGAGCCCACGAAAGACACCGGTCTCGAAGAAGACGAAGGACGCCGCCAATGCCGACTCACCGTTGCCGAAAGGCGAGCCGGAAGCCAACGGCGAAGAGGAGAACGGGGCGCCGGTGACACCAGCCTCCAAGGCCACTCGGCGGGTCCAGCGGACCCCCAGTGTCAAAAAGCCGACATCCAGGAAACGGAAGGCTTCGCTCATCGCTTCCACGCCGTCTGCTTCGGACGTGGACACAGAAAACCCAGATATCCCGGAGCCACCCGAGCTTACCAGCACGAATGGGGCTGGGGTCCGTCGTAGTAAGCGGGCGAAAACGGTGAATTATACCGAGGACCCTGATTCAGCTTGATGTCCGGCAGGTCGTCTAGCTACGGCGTAAAGTCTGTTGGCCGCAGCTGCTGCAGCTGCAGAATAACCGTGCATTAGGCATGCAGACATGCGCCGCCGAGATGCGGAAGATCTATCAAGTTCTTCAAGAGCATCTGGCTTTTGCTTCCTCCTGCTGAGCGGCGGGGCTATGTCGCACAGCAGGACTAGAGATACTGGTTTCTGGTTGCCGGTTGATCGGACCTCGCAGCGTCCTGTGAAAGTCACTGGGTGGTTATATGCTATCTAGTATGGCTAGACCATAGAAAGAGTGTACAGTAGTATATATAAGGATCAGCTAGCGATTTGCTTAATGGTAATATAATGGTTTACCTTTTAAGATTAATTACTCCAGAGTCTAGACGAAGCCATCGATAGAAATGATAGAAATGTTCCCAATTGGGCAAAGTGTGTCCCCACCGCGGGTTTCTTCCGGCCGTCAGCTTGACGTTGCGGTGCGCTTCGAGGCTTTCGCCCTGTTTTACCCCCTTCAGACGCTCAATCTAAGATTTGTGACCTAGATCATGTCTTGATTTCTCTTGCTGAAATTCCACAGTCTGTACTTTACGACAGCAAGCCCTTCATTCGTGCGAGATTCTGATCAGAAAGAAATGAAGCCACCCTAACAAGATCTCTCTAGATCCTCATAGCTTATCCCCGAGGAAGTTCGTCGTTCGTCATCGCCTCCACACAAAACCAGCCCAGCCCCATCAACTTCACAACCTCCAACCCACCCTCTAGCAACTTGACTTCTTCCTTTCCGTCTTCATCACACCCACAAAACCCAAGCGATCCCCGACATACACCTCCAAATAAAACCCCAAAAGAAATTTCAGAGCCAAACAAAACCGTGGCTCCAAAATTCCTCCCTCGCTCCGCCTCCTCCTTCTCCTCCCGCCGGCGCGCGCCCCCGCCCCCTACACCCACACCCACCACCTCTTACAACAAACAACCCCTCCCCTTCTTCCTCCTCCGCCGCAATCGCCCTCTCCTCGCCCCTTCACCGCTCCAATCCTCCCCCCGCAACCCTCTCCGACCAAAAACCCGCCTCTGGACCCTCCTCCTAGGCCCGCACTCGCTCCGCCGCGCCCAGCTCCGCCTCTGGAGTCTCCGCCACGAAACCCTCCCGGCGCTCCGGCACCGCGCCCAGGCCCGCGTCTACCGGGCGATCGTCAGGCGTCAGGCCCGCAAACTTGCGCAGGTACGGTTTGGGGATCGAGGTGTCGATCGAGGTGGCGGTGGTGGCGGTGGGGTTCTAGGGTATTTGTTGGGTGGTAGTAGGCGGGGACGGGTGTCTGCGTCTACACCTACGGCTACAGCTGCCACAGCTGCCACAGCTGCAACGGGCGCAACGTCGACAACGACCATGTCACAATACGACTCCTCCCCCTCCTATGGCGGCGCCGGCGCCCCTCGCGGCGCGCGCCGCAAGAAGGTCTACGATTACCTCAAGGCGGCGAACGAGCTGCGGCAGACGTATGCGGCGCAGTGGGCGGCGCAGTTGAATGGGCAGGGCGGGCAGCAGCAGCGGGCTTACGGCGATGAGTACTACACGGGCGATGCGCCGGGGGCATTCCCGGATGTGGAGATTGCGCGGTCTGGGTTGGAGGAGATGGTGATTTTTCCGAGTTATGGACGGCGGATTGTGAGGGATGGCTCTGGACAGGCGGCGGGGAGGGTGGGCAGGGATGATGTTGGGGATGGTGATGATGATGATGACCCGTGGGCGAGGCGGAGGGGCTCGAATGCGACGATTGATGAGTATCGTGGTCTCGACACAGACAAAAATACGGTGGCCGGGTTCGATGACTATGCGGAGAAGAATGCCGTGGTCTCGGTGGATGTGCGCGGTTGGCTGTATGCGCCGCATCGCGGGCCGATGACGCGGAAGCATCGGTTGATGGTTGCTTTGGCGAGGAAGCTGAGTGGTGTGCCTGCTCCGGTGAATAATGCGGGGGCTGCTGGTTTGGGG